CCGGCTCCCCCGCCTCGCCCGATGCATCCGACCGCATCGAGCGGCTCAACTCACAGGGCAGCGCGTGGAGCCGCGGGCCATCGTTTCTCCACCACGGCAACGGCGAGGGCGAGGAGGGCGGCGGCGGTGGTGAGCGTGCGGGCCAGGGCGTCGTCTCCTACTCGCGCAGTGAGCTGTACGAGTTGATTTGCTGCGTTGACCGAGACGAGGAGGGCCGGCTGCCGTACCACGACCAAATCAGCTGCGAGATCCACCGGCCGGAGGGCCTTCGGCATCCCAAGGACGCGGGATTCCTGTACCAGTACACGGCCCCCAAGGACCGCGACAGAGACGGTGAGGAAGGGCGACGGATGGCTGACACCACACACCACACAATGACCATTGTGTGTGTGTCCATCTGTCTCACTGTGTCCGTGTATGTGTGTGTGTGTGGTCTCTCAGACTACCGAGCTGGCGGTGGTGGTGTCCTTGCTGCTGCACCCACCCCGGCCCCGGCCCCCGCTTCCCCACAAGCACTTGAGCAGCCATGCTCGTCTGCGTCAGCATCAGCTGCACTTTATCGCATGGCGCCTGAGACGGCCGTGCCCGTCTCAGCCAGCCAGGAGCCCGCTGAGCCGCCAGCAGCCAAGGATTCCCCACCCCCGCCAGTCAGCAGGAGACAGGTCAGTCGAGCTGTGGGTGTCATCCACACCGCTCTGGGAGGAGGAGGCAGGCCGCGCGAAGGCACACAGCAAGGTAGTGCTGGTGAAGGGCGTCAGCGTCGCGAGAGGCCGGGGGGAGGGAAACGGGATGGAGGTCGAGGGAGACACAAGAGGCCCGACACCGCTCAAGACAATATCAATGAGGCCGCCAACGACGGTTCCTCTGCTTCTGCTTCTGCGGCTGCTGCGTCATCGTCTACTCAGCCAGCGCCGGCAGAGTCCCCGCCTGTCCGTCACGAAGGCCCAAAGTCGCAGCAGCAGCAGCAGCGGCAGCACCGTGAGACCGCACCGACCCCCAGCCCCGCGGTTCCCAGCGGGCCCCCACTCGAGCAGCCGACCAGTCGGCACGTCGGCAAAGGGAAACGGGCCAGCGGTGATCAGACGGGCGGCACGGATGGGCCCCACGATCGAGATGAGAGGGAGAGGCCGCCGACTAGAGAGAAGCCTCAGTGTCGGGGCAAGAAGAGAACCAGTGACGCTGGGAAGGGCAGTGGGCCAGGAGGAGGCGACCGCAGGCGCGACAGGGAAAGGGACAAGGTCAAGGAGAGGGACAGGAAGGGGGGCAACCATCACCACAACCATGTGTCAGCACCGTCAGGACCATCGTCGTCATCTGCAGCACCAGCACCCCAAGCACCCCCAGCAGCCGCGGCGGCAGCTGTGCTCAGGCCCCCCAAGGCAGAGGAGAGGCTACCCAGCCCGCCGCCCACTCTCAGGAGCGCCACCGAGCCACTCGACCGAGCCGACAACAGCGGTCAGGACAATGTCGGCAAGGAGGGCGCCTCAGGAGGGGGCGGCCGAAGGGACGACAGGGAGAGCGAGAGGGTGGCAGCCCCCCACAAAGCGCAACGGCAGCAGCAGCAGACCACCCCCACGCCCACTCCTGCACTGGTCGTGCGGATGGCCCCCCTGCCGCAGCACACGACGCTCCCCGTCCCCGCACTCATGCCGCAGAATCCCCCCTTCGAGGCCTGGACGGCGGTGCTGGTGCCGCTGCCGCATGCCGAGGGGGGGTTCACGGGCTGGCGGCGCAACACCAGGAGCGGGGAGTGGGAGCTGTGGGAGCGGAGGGGAGGGAGGTGGGAGTGGGACCCAGTGTGCGGTGAGTGGGTGAGGAGTGCTGCCGGCCGATGGGCGCTGTGGGAGGTGCGGAGCGAGGCCCAAGACGCCAATACCCGCCTCCTCTCCGTCCTCTCAAGTGCGGCAGTGGCCTTTGACGACGCCGGGGCGGCCATTAAGAGGGCGGCAGAGGAGGCGGGTGCCTGGATAGCCACCACCATGACACAGCTTTTCGGGTGCGGCGGGCAGTGACGCCCACGCACCCAAGGACCTCGAGGACGTGGCCGCCAGGATCCCCTCGCCTCAGAACCACGGCGGCGTGTGGGACGAGCTCACGACCATCGAGGAGCCAGCGGCCATCCCAGGGGCCGACCGGCCCGCGGACCTGGCGGCACGTGTGTCGGCGGCGACGTGGTTAGTGTACTGTACCTGTGGGAGATCCACCGAGTCAACCGGCTGGCAGCACCATCACGGAGGTTTTGACACCCTGCCGTCCGTCATAGCAGACATGCCATGCCGGCCGCAGACTGGCTAGACATGTTGGGCGTCATACTCGCCGAAGGTAGCCACCCAACCAACAAGCGGCACACACAGCAGACAGACAGCCAGACAGCCAGACATCCCAAGACGGGATGGAGCCAACGTCTCCTGTTGCACTGCCTGGCTGCAGGTTACATATCTGAGGGTTGTTCGTGTCGAGAGGGTATGCGTCGACTGGGAGACGTGGTGGTCAAAGGAATTCGCCAGCAGACGCGATGTGAGGTGTGAGCCATATCCCGTGCAGTCAGCCTCAGTACGCACCTGATGCCGACTGACTGACTGACTAACTGCCAGCTCTGCTGTGCTGTGCTGTGCTCTGCTGTGTGTGGCCACAGGTCTGTAGTACATGTACACGGTCGTCTGTATTCGATTGCCAAGGCCCCCAATCTCGGTGAGATGCCCGAGATTCATCTGCCGGGGGGCGATGAGGGCGGGAAGCCCGGCCTTCTCGCTCGTACGTGTCAGCAACGAGACCCTGGGCAACGGTCGCGGCGTGCCGTTGTTGTTCAGCCCGTGTCAGTGGGTGTGTCGGCTGGAGGTCATGGTGTACCCTGGTGGTGAGGGCCGCAAGGATGACTTCTACCTGTCCAAGCAGGAGGGCGGGCGGCCAGCAGAGTGGCCTACTGGCACGCCACCGCACCCTTCGTCAAGACGGCGTCCCGTGCTTAACTGCAGCCTCTGGTGCCCTACTGCAAGCACTGCAGCACCGAGGGCCTGACCACCGTCAGAGACGCCATCCCATCGCTCAGTGCGCAGCTGCAGCAGGCACGCTTGTCGAGTCGGCCGACAGCTCGCCTCACACAGACGTGCCCACATCGGCGGCAGAGTCCGCAGCGGCCCCGGCGCCCCGGGCGGCATGGACGGCAGACGGCTCACGGAGAGCCTCTCATGGATCTCGCCCACACGGGTTTTGCTGGACGGCCTCAGTGCCATGATCGAAGTCATTCCGGTCTACGCCAAGACGCAGGACAACATCGGTTCTGCCAAGGCAGCGCTGCCCCCGCCCACCACTCATGCAGCAGCGGTCAACGGGTCGACATCGGCAGCATCCCGTTCGTGATCACGGCGACCGTCTGCTGGATCTGGTGCTCACGACGGATCTTTCTGGTTCCAATTCGGTGGAGTGGCTGCTGGAGGTGAGGCAGCTGGAGGTGGTCTCCTGCCTGGCGTGGCAGCTCAACTACTCGACGCAGCACGCGCAGGCCGTCGTGCAGTGCGTCGTGACCACCAGCAGCCCGCCAAAATGTGTTCGAGCCCCTGCCGCTCAACTCCCGCACGTACGTCATGTCCACCAGGTCCACTTCGCTCCACCCCCCAAACACTGCCATCTCCGTGGCCACCACCTTCCCCTCGTCCTTCTTCAACCCGTCACGCGCCTCATTGCTTCGCTCCTCCCAGCGGCGCTCATCCCTCCATGTGCCCCCTCTCACGGTCCGTGGGGGCCGGTCTGCACGATTGTCGGCGTTTGCGGCTGGGCTTAGGATAGCAGCCTTGTCAGGCACATCTCGGTGCCGTCGGTCAAGTGGCAGAACCTGCAGGGTGAGGTTAAGATGCTGGCGGGGCTAGTAGCGAGTTTGCAGGAGACGGTGGGGGCCAACGAGATGGTCACGGCAGCACAGAAGCAGACAGGAGCGAGGTAGGCACATCAATGCCCTCTCTGAGTGTGTGTATACCATCCCTCGTCTCTGTCTCTGTGTGCTGTGTTGCCTTAGGTGGCAGAGCTTGTTGAGTCAATGACTCGTCATTTGATTGACGTGTGGCCCCTCTCAAAGCTGCCGGCCACAGATGAGGTCCTCGTGGCATACAAAGCTGCACACGGCCACGACGTAACCAGAGGCCTTCAACCAAGTTCCAACAAGACCTCGCCAACGCACTGCCGCCCGGCCCAGCAACCGAGCCCCGTGCGCCACAAAGGAAAACATCTGTCATGCTACGTGCCAGTGGGAAGCCGCCCACAGCTGTTCCCGATGCTGCCTTGGCGGTGACATCGGAGGAGAGCTCTCAGGGCCCTTGTCAGGTACGTGTGCACACGCAGACCACCCCTGTGTGCCATCAATCCATCCATCCATGTGTGTATGTGTGGTGCAGGCGTTCCGCACCCAGGCCGACAAGGCGAAGGTCGATAGCTCTGCGGCGAATGTGTACCTGTGCCCGCCGCTGCACGAGAGTTTCCAGCTGCTGTCCCAGCTGCTCATCCCGCCCTCGGCTGACCTGCTGCAGAGCTACCGGGACGCAATGCCGGCCAAGGGGCAGGACGACGTGCGGCGGAGGTATCTGCTGGAGATACTTGCACCAAACTACAGAGCCGCCATGGTCAGCACACTCCCTCACACACAGAGAAGGCCAGGAATACCGAGTAGTGTGGGTGTGTCTATGGTGTGTGTGGTGTGCAGGCCACGTGATGGGAGTGTGACGTTCAGCCACACCTCGACCATTCAGGCAGGATCTGCCCATCAGCTTCCTCTGTACCGTTAAGCAGCGGGAGAGGGAGGGAGGCGGCAGGGGCCATGCTCATCAAACACCTGGGGCCACGACGGTTGATACAGGCGACCTTCAGAGGGTACGTGAGGCAGCGCTGGAGGCACCAGGCAATGGCTCATGTGTGTGTCTCCTGTGTGTGTGCCTTGGCAGGTGGGCCATGTCAGTCGTCCGAGCCAGCCCACGATGGGCGGGGGAAGGCCGTTCCGGCCGTATCCCGTCCATCACAGATGGCTCAGGACAACACACATGCCCTCCCTCTGGTCTGGTTGCCCAGCAGCGCTCTACCTTCATCTATGACCACTCGAGCGCCTGTGAGGTCGGCCACAGACTCGTCACACACGACAGCAGCCAGCTGGATGGCGCCCTGGTCGAGCGCGTGCACTTCTTCGGCTACACGCTGTTCCGCGAGGCCAGCAGCCGGCAGTGGCAGAGGTGGATCCCGAAGCAGAGGGCATCGGTCAAGGCGGTGCTGCTGTCCTACCCCAGTCAGCTGCCGGCCGATTGTCTTCGATCACCAACTGTGCAGCAACAGTGTGCAGTGGCTCTGTCTGAGGTCGCGCGGCGGGAGTGGCCCCAGTGCTGGCAGGAGCTGATGCCGAACCTCCTCAATGCCGGTCAGCGCGACGAACAGACAAACAACCTGCCTGTCTGTCTCTCTGCATCTTCGTCTGCCTGTGTGCAGGTCGCACGAATGCCGCCCACGCGATCATCGTGATAGCCGTGATCCGCGAGCTGGCGCAGGAGTGCAGCAATGAGTCGACCCGTGGTCTGCCGCAGCGATGGCGGCTGGAGATCGTCAGCGGACTGCATTAGGTGTCCAACGACATATTCAACACCACCAGAGTGTACCTGACCTCACTGGGGCAGGAGGGCGGCGAGGCACTGCTCAGGGCGGCATCCGAGATCTTCAGGTGAGTGAGACAAGGCTGCGAAGGGCACGCCCCTAGGTGTAATGGTGTGTTGTGTGTCATGTGGATGCGTCAGGGATCTCTCTCAGGTGGTGTCGGTGAGTCGGCTGGTCGAGCTGCAGGTGGATGAGTTCCTCTCGTCCAACCTCAGCAAGTCAGACGCGTGCAGGAAGGTACGTGTGTGTCCCCATAAACCATGACGCCACATCCACACTGATCTGTTGCTTTGTTCCCCTTCTCTCAGACAGCGCTGTCTCTCAGACAGCGCTGCAGACGTTCTCGACATTGGCGAGTGAGGTCGCCCGGCGGGAGAACAAGAACCGGCCTGCCAACGACATTGCCTGGAGCACCTCAACCGACTCACCATCAAGATCGCCGGATTCGCACACGCTGCGCTGCCGCCACCGCCACCCGCACCATACACAGCTGAGGTACACTCATGGAGAGACAGGCACACTCAGTGGTGGTCGATCATTATGTGTTGTGTTGTGTTGTGTTGTCGTGTGGTTGGGTGTGTGTCAGATGAACGAGGTTGCGATGCAGGTGGCGTACATCCTGAGTGAGTTCCTGGAGACGTCAGGTGAGGTGCTGCTGCAGAGGCTCCCCGCCGACACGATCGCCGTGCTGTGGCGGCATGGTGTGGTCCGTCTGATGCGTAACGCGTCGATGGACCTGGTGGCTGCGGTGCTGCGCGGAGCGGCCATGTGCACCAAACAGCTCGGACTGTGGGCCAAGTTGATATGTGCGACCTTCAGAGGGTACGTGAGGGAGCCTGGAGGCACCAGGCAACGGCTCATGTGTGTGTCTCCTGTGTGTGTGCCTTGGCAGGTGGGCCATGTGAGTCGTCCGAGCCAGCCCACGATGGGCGGGGGAAGGCCGTTCCGGCCGTATCCCGTCCATCACAGATGGCTCAGGACAACACACATGCCCTCCCTCTGGTCTGGTTGCCGAGCAGCGCTCTACCTCCATCTACGACCACTCGAGCGCCTGTGAGATGGCCCACAGACTCGTCACACACGACGGCAGCCAGCTGGATGGCGCCCTGGTCGAGCGCGTGCACTTCTTCGGCCACATGCTGTTCCGCGAGGCCAGCAGCCGGCAGTGGCAGAGGTGGACGCCGGGGCAGAGGGCATCGGTCAAGTCGGTGCTGCTGTCCTACCCCACTCGGCTGCCGGCCGATCAACGGTGTGTAAGCACACCAGACCAATCATGTCGGAGTGTCGGTGTAGACGTTGGCATTTCCTGCTGGGCACTTTCTGGTTGCGTGACTGACTTATTTGTGAATGACTTTTCATGCAATTTTCCCGTCTGTCTTTGTTTTTCTGACCTGACCTGACTTGACCTGACCTGTTCTAGCCAGGCGTCCCGTCCACCGAGAGAGGAGAACAGCCGTTTGTTTGTTGTGTGCTTTGGACCAGCCAGGTGTTTTCATGTTCAGAGAGACACACACACACCATACACTTACTTACTTGGCACGGACACGACTGACTGACTGACTGCCTGTCTGGCTGGCTACATGCCGGCCATGCATATGCACTAGTGACACTCATCTGATCCCACTCACTCACTCACTGACTGACTGACTTTCTCGTGATGGTACGTACGTCAATGTGCGTGTCCGCGTGTGTGTGTGTGTGTGTGTGTAAGGATCACTTACTACCTCCCAGGCAGGCAGGCAACCACGCAGGCATCACACTCGCTCCACACACCAGGCGCGTTGGCACGCAGGTGTTTTGCCCTTACTTGCGGGAGTGCACTTCCTCCGCATCCGACTCACTTTGCCGTCCATCCGTGCTGTTGCGGGTTTTGCCGACACCAGCCGTCCGTACTCGGCATCGCTCTCCTTTTCCCATCCCGACGTACGCCGTACGTCGGCGGCACGGCAGCCATTTTAGTATTGGTGTGACAACTTGGCTCTCTGTATGTGTGTGTCCTTGGCCACCTCATGTGTGTGTGTGTGTGTGTTTGTGTGGTCCTTCATTTTTCATAGCTGCCGCTGACAGCGCACTGTCCGTCCGCACTGTTCGCCGTCACCTGTTTGCAGTGCATCACCCCATCAGCTGTACTCGCACCCATCACTGACCCCATCAGCTGTGTGTTTGTATGCACGTGCCCGACTTCTCATGCAGTGCAGGGGCTGCTCGGGTGTTCTGGTGTGTGTGTGTGTGTGTAAGGAGCACTCCTCCCTAGCAGGCAGGCAGGCAGGCAGGCAGGCAGCCACGCAGGCATCATACTCGCTCCACAGACGACCCGGCTCACTGCGGAATGGCATCCAGGTGTTTTGCCCCTCCGGCAGCGGATGTCCTCCGCGTCTGGCTGGTTTTGCCACACACAGGAGGGAGGAGCCCCCCTCACCCCCCTCTCCAGCATCGGTCGATCTAGTCGCATCCATGGTGTATGCGTGCATGTGTGTGTGTGTGTGTGTATGTGTGTGTAAGGCTGTACTTCCTAGCTCCCGGACAGCACAGGCAGGCATCGCACCCAGGCAGGCAGTCTCCACGCACCACCCTGCGCACCGCGAGTGTATGTACGCGGGTGTTGTCTTGTGCCCCTGCCGCAGCGCAGACCCCTCCGGAACTGACTGGTCTTGCCGCAGACAAGATGAGCCCACCCCAGGCTGCTGCTGATTTGCTGAACTTGATCGCACCCATCCATCCATCCATCCATCATCTTGCTGCTAAGTGTGCATCTCCTGATGCAGTAGAGCTCGGTGCGCTGTTCTCGTGTTCGTTTGTTTCTGTCTGTCTGTGTGTCTGTCTGTCTGTCCCTATGCGTGCGTCTGTGTGTGTGTGTGTGTACGTCAGTCAGGTCGGTGGACACTTGCTTGTGTTGCTGTGTTCGTGTGAGTGTGTGTGTCCCTTCCCCGTGGATTTGTCCACGCCTCTGTGTCGTGCCGCTTCCGATGAGTATCTATCTCTCTCCTGCTTGGCACATTGCGGTTTGTTTCATCGATGAGCACTGATTGATTCGTGGCATGTCTTTATCGATGACATTCAATTTAGGTCAGTGAGTATGTATGCGTCCCTCCTTCGTCTGCACAATTAAGGTATGTGTGTACTGGTATGGTACACCACAGCACACCACAGCACAAGACGCGACGCAAGAATCCCCCGGCACAAAGCACCATGATGCCGTCCTGATGAGTCGAGATGAGATGAATGAATCACACGGGGGGATCAGTCAGCAAGTGGATGGATGGATGGATGGATGGACGGATGTGTGTGTGTGTGTGTTCGGTGTGATTGATGCAGTCGTGCCCGCGAGGCTGGCGCCAAGTACCTCGATATGTTTGTTGTGGTGCGCTGGGGGCGGCCGTGGCGACCTTGAGGTGGCGGCCCTTCCTTGACACAACTGACGAGCGAAAGGTGCGCGCACGGCCAACCGACTCAACACACACGTGTTGTGTACCCGAGCACTTCCGTGTGTGTATGGATCTCTTGTACTTGTCTTCAGGGGCTACGCAAACGCCAACCATGACGTCGCTCCCTCCTCACGCACTACCCCCCCGACCCCCCCGTGCCACCTGTCGTCGACGTGGCCGCCGCACGTGTCGAGTCGAGCCAACAGAGAAAGGACAGCAAAGATGGCCATGAGAAGGTGCAGGGTGATCTTGCTGGTGCTGGTGATGGTGATCGGAACGGTCATAGAGGGGGACAGCAGCAGCAGCAGCAGCAGTTCTATGACTGCGACTAGAGACGGGACGGAAGGCGTTTGATAGAGTTGATAAAGGTGGCTGGATTGGCTAATCGGTTGGTCAATTTTTTGACGTGGCTAATTGGTTGGCTCGGCTCACCGCGAGCCGCCGCTGTCAGAGCATTTGTCACTCACCATTTATGTGTGCATGTTATGCATGCGTGTGTGTATGTATGCAATGTGAGTGTTATGCCTTGTGAGTGTTGGTTGCGTCGGGTGGACTGGACGAACGGTCCGGTGTGTACTGTACAGACCAGCAAGTCTTCGATGTCGAGGTTGACCACAGGCAGCCGAAGGAAGCGCGAGAGGCGCGATTACATGCCCCACCTACCTGTACTTCGCACCTCGATGGCCTGCTTCAGATGCGTGTGGTCGAACTTGACCTGTGTCGATGGTATCAAAATCATGCGTCGCTTCGTCCTACTTTTAGTCCGTGATATCAAGATTCGTCGGCCATCGATGCGTTCAGCAGCGTCGCAGCAGTCACGTGCACGCGAGTAAACATCCACCCACCATGATTCACGTAGAGAGGGAATCACATACACACATGCAGCGTCCTCACCGACGAGTCGATATACGCGCGCACACACGCACTGAGGCCAAACCGTCGGCAGGCAGACTGGACAACGATGCAGACCGTTTGCCGATAGTCACCCCACGACCAAACACGTACGTACTCTGCACAAGCAGGGGTTGAATGCACACACATCGAACAAGTGTCACGCACGCCGGCCGAAAAGCGTAGGCGAGATCCCCACGCACCATCGTCAGCAGCACACTCGCACACACACTTACACGCCGACGCAGAGAGAAAGAATCGTCCGATAGAAATATGCCCCTCCCCCAGGGCCCCCTCATTCCCGCCTCGCTGTCTGTCTCATCCCTTGCGGCGGTCCCTCATATAGTCCTTCAGCTTTGATCTCATCTGGGTGGCCTCGATGCGGGCGTAGTCCTGCATGGTCTTGTCCGTCTTGTCTGTGCCGGTGTTGGCGGCCTCCTTCCAGCACTGGAACGCGGCCTGGAGCTCCTGCAGGGCGCTCTGCACCGCTGGCTGCACCCAAACCTCGTCGATGATCTCCTGGCCAGACTTCCCCCTCTGCAGGGAGGCCCAGCCAGGGAGGAGACACACCAACACCACGTCACAGCACAGCACATTTGGGTGGATGAGTGCACACGCAGGGCTTACGTCGAATTTGCGTCTGATCTCTTCGCCGGCCTCCTCGTATCTTTCCTCGTCGATGAGCTGCAGGATAGGCTCCATGGCGGCCTGCTCGGATGGCGTCCGCTGCCCCATCCAATCCACCACACGGTCCTGCACGCAGTTATGCACACACGTGAGACGGACCGGCTGGCTCTTCATCTCTCAGCTGTGCGTTACCGCTATTGAGGGCCTTGTGCTGTCCTCTGCAGCGCCATCCTGCTGCGGCGCCGACCCACCATCAGTCACCTCCACGCTGCCATCACCCTGCAAATGCCAATCTTGTGTGTGCAACTGCTGTGACGAATGTGTGTCAGCAGGCTGACCATACTATCCGTGTGTCCGGCCTCGTGCTCCTCGCCGCCGTCGGCCTCCTCAACCTTAACACCCAACACCTAGCGGGCGCCCACACACCGACACACAGGGCGTGTGAGAGTGGCTTGGGAGGAACGTCCGTCTCTCGCTCGCCCACCCCCCCCCGCCCCCCAACCCACCCACCTCCTTCTTTGCTATGCGGTCCTGCAGGGCCTTCTGCACCGAGGCTAACAACTCGTGGTTCGACACCTGATGGCATGGCATACCATGGATGGATGGATGGATGGATGGACACAAACCGACAATGAAGACACACAATGAAAAGTCACATTGTGTGTCTTCATTGACTAATGGCCCACTTACTCGGCTGATGTCCTGCAGCTCGATGTCGGTCTGCGCGTAGACGTCACGACGGGACTGATAGAGACGTCAATGATTGATGCATCATCGCGTGTCTGTGTGCGTGCGTGTGTATGTATGTGTGCACCTAGTCACCTTTTTGTTGCATTCGGTTTCCTCCTCCTGCTCTATGGCCCGTTTGCTTCCGACACCAAGACTGCCACCAGCAACACCTGCAACATGACCACACACACACACACAGAGAGAGAGAGAGAGAGATGGGTGGCTGCCGCCCAGGGAGCACAGAGCATGTACCGTTGAGGGGAGAGATGGTGACCTTGGTGTGGTGCATTTGGTCCCAGCGGTCGTGGACGGTGGTGAGGTGCCCCTCCATGATGGTGGCCGTGCGATGCTGGCCGACCTCTCCATACGCCCTCTCCCATCGGTCCTCGCCACTGGGATCGTGCACCAGTAGCTTGTACTCAATCTGGCCGCTATCAGGGACCGACTGGATGGCGATGGGCTCGCTAATCCAAATGGGCACGGTAACAGCAAACGTGGTGAGCTGCAGGGCCGTATACCACAGCTTGTCATGGTTACTGCACACGCGCACCTCCTGCCCCCAGCCGCATATGTCGGTGGAGACCTCGGCGACGAACCGCACAGCTGCGCCGTGCCCACCAGGAGACTGCAAAAACGACAAAGAAGAGAGAGAATGGTCCAGTGAGGATGCACCCGTGAATTCTTGCGGCCTCACCTCCATCTGCGATGCCCGGCGATTTCCCAGCCAGGACTCCTCCGCATCACACGCCGCAGCGGCAGGCTGGCGCACCGCCGAGGGAAGAGACCCTCTCTGTTCGTCATGGCAAGCCCCTGCAGTCGGGGCTCCCTCCTCCTCCTTCACCCGCACATCTGCCTTGATCATGCTAGCAGCAGTCTGCCTTGAAGAGGAGAGTCACGGCGAGTGACGAGATTCTCTCCGACGGCGGGACAAACCCAAACCCTGCAAACCCTGCAAACCGATAATTCTTCAGTTCAGTTTTTCCGCCCTCGCTGCCATTCCCGCTGCCCCCGCTCACATCTCCTCCCACCCTTCGTCTTTAGGGCTCGCCCTCGTCTGGTGTGGCTGGCCTCAGCCCCTCCCAAGCCTCCCAAGTAGACGCGTCGTCCGCCGCTGTTTCTCCCAACCCAAGAGGGCTCAACAAACGGCGCCCGCCCTCTGCGGGACACCTGGCGTCTGCCTGTCAGCCGCAGAGCGCACGAGCCTCTTCTTCCTTACAAGAAACCTCTATCAGGTCAGCACATATTCTACTTTATGACGTGTTGTGTGATGTGTGGCTCGTGTGTGCCGGCGCGAGGAATTCCGTATACGAGTGCATCGTCTCGTGACGCCCATTTGATGGCCTCCTACAGCGTGCTATGCCCTTGTGCCGTGCGGCTCGTGCGAGAAGAATTCGTGGCCTATTTTGTCATCACCCCGCCCCTTTCTCGACAGAGTCCTCATTCAGCCCAACTGATGTGGTAAGTAACATGAATCAGCCGGGCTTCACGCGTGATGAACAAGGGGGTCCCGGCTGTGCATGGATGATCTTCTCCTCTTTTTCTTTGCAGTACGTTGCGTCCAACCCCCAGAGTGCGCTGGCGCTGCAGAAGGTCGTGGCCAACCCCACCCTACCGCCTGTGCAGGTGAGAGACTGACGGATGCATGGGTACAGCACCACACAGATCTCCATGGGTCTTTGTGTCGCCCTGTGTGTACCTGCTGGTGCGATGCGCACGGCACGAGCGGCGGGATGTGGACGAATGCGGCGACACCCGGCACGCACCAGCCGTTCGCCTACTCAGACATGCAGGTGAGGGGGTGAGGATCACGGTAAATTGACGAGAGCGACATATGCCTTGCCTGTCGGCGGGGAGAGGCCACCCTCTGTCTGTCGGGCGATCGATGTGTCATTTCAGGGGGCTCACGGCACGGCTGGCGGGGGCGGCGGAGGCAGCGTCGGACACACATACGTATCGCAGCAAAGCAGCAAGGTAAGCACCCGCCAAACACATGTCACACCCACACACCCACGCACGAATGCCGTCTTTGTCCTGTGTGCATGTGTGTATAGGTAGCGGGTGTTGGATTCGGTGTTGGTTCCAGTGCCGGTGTTGGATTCGGTGCTGGCACTGAGGTAAGAGTTCCACCTCCCACCCACACCACCACACGCCAGCCACCATGTGTCATTCTGTGTGTGAGGTGTCTCCAGGTGCGCGTGCAGACTCCGCAGTGTGTGTTCCCGCCGCTGCCCGTGGTCAGCCCCCCATCGGTGGACGGCAGCCTCCACGCCAAGACCAATGATGAGATCACCGCAGACGTCCGCGGCCGGGTGAGGCTTACACCACACCTTACAAGCCATCCGACACAAAGCAAAGCGGCATGTGTGCAGGTCGAATGGATCGCCCCCGGTGCGTCGTCGTCGAGTATGTCATCGTCCCAAACACCGGGACCCATAGTCCAAGGTGAGAATGCCACTCACACACACACACATACACCCCTTACCGTGTTTTGGTTTGTTTGACACAGCTGAGAGTGCGCCACACCAGTGCCGCATGTGGTGCTACTGAAGCTTAGCCACATTGCGCCGACCCATGTGCTCGAGAAGAAGGTCGATGAAGACGACACAGAAATGTCTACTCTGGACGGCGTGCAGTACAAGAATGTGGGAGGCAAGGAGTACGTGCCGCCCGACGGCTACTTCTCCTGAGCATACACATACAAAGACAGACATACACGCACATATACACACCACGTCTGTGAGACACAGATAGAAATGCGTTCACACATGGATATCGGGCGACTGCGTGAGGGGGTAGTTGTGTTCTTGTCAGGGGGCATGTGCGGCTGTGTTGTTGTCTGCATAGGCTGGTGTGCCGTCCGTGAGCTTTTCCCCTGAACACTCCCCTCTCTCCTTTTCCTTTTCTGACCCCATCCCCCCCTCCCCTACCCTGCCGGCCACCGAATTTTCAAAGAAACTGAATGCACGGCCCCCTGCCTTGCTGTGTGCGTGTGTTGCATCCGACACTAAAACCGAATACGCACACGCACAGGCATGTACAGCGTTGCATGGATGGATTGGGCCCGTGAGGGCGAAGGGGGGTGAGGGCAGAGGGGTGTGTCGCTACCGCACTGCATGCGCGTGTGTGGTTGAAAGACAGATGTCAGTGCCTGCCGTCGGTCTCGCTATCTCGCTTCCTTTCTCTCCACCGGTTCTTCCATACCATACCATCCATGTGTGTGACCGTCCGAGTGTATGTGTGTTGTGTGTGTCCCGCTTGTGCTGAGGAGCGAGCCGTGCTGATGCCACTGCTGGCCATCCATCCCGATCCCAAGCCAGCGACGTCATGGGCCGCCAAGATGGAGGCGAGACAGGTACTGTACATGTGTGTGTACAGAAGCCCAGCATGTCTCCTCCTTTTTCTCTGTGTGTCTCTGTAGGAAGTTAATCGGTGCCTACATTTTATATCCTGGCGACTCTTTGCTCTCTTTGCCGCGCAAGACACCCATCAGCACGGCTGCATCATGTGTAAGCGCCAACCCACGGCAATCGGCCTTATGCTCGTGTCTCACGGCTCTAGGCGTACAAATCGCTGTCTTCGTCGGATTTGTACGGCGGCGCAGTGGCGGCAATCGGACGACTGCTAAATTCTGTGAGAGGATGAGACATTCAGAAGTCACGCACACACACCAGTGAGAAAGAGGCCCGTCTCTGTGTAACCTTCATGCCGGTGCCTGCCTGTCAGGGGTGTTCGGTGTCCGTGGTGCAGCGGCGAGAATCGCCTGATCGCCGCTGCTTACACCCGTTGTCTGCCCCGCAGGCCTTTCATCGCTGCTTACATTTTATATCCATTGACCGTTTTGTTTTCTTTGCCGCACTTGATACAGGATGAAAGAGCGAGTGAGACGCACGCACTATACATGAGTTGACCTCTGTCGACAGATAAACGGGACAAATCAATGGGGCCTAGCTAGGTAGCATAGCCTTCAATCCCTTCCTTCATCTGGCCACTGACTGGACCGGCCACAAACACACAAACACCCCACCCCGCCTGGCCCCATACACAGAGTGCGTTGCGTTTGGACCACATCACATGATCACATGACATCACACGTATGTCAGTCTGAGCACTGAGGTCAATCAAGGAATGCAACCCCACGGCGGATGCGATGCGGCTCGCGAGCGACACGATATTTTGAAGGACGAGCTGCACAGATTCATCAATCAGGTCGGCTGCGCGGCCGACCTGAATCTGTCGGCTGCGCGGCCTACCTGAATCTGTGCAGCTTGTCCTTCGAAATCCCGTGTCGCACAGCCACCAACCAACAAAGCAAGACAAGGCCCCTAACATGCAAGACACGCAGAATGTTCCGTCCATCGACACACACAATGACACTTACACCTACAGGTAGGTGTGCATCCGTCCGCTCTTCACATGACGCCCGCTCCTACAGTGTGTGGCACCGTCTGTGGTGCAGCCGGCCTGGCTGCTGCTGGCACAGGGGGTGGCGGTGCCTGGTTCAGCAAAGACAGCTCGGGGTCCTCCTCGCCCTCAGCCAACACAGACCAACCATACGCCGCCTGCAATCAACGCACAATGGACATGATTGATTTGCACCACACCCCATGTCTGTGTGGGCACCATAGATACCTGCAGTGAAGCGGGTGGTGGCCTGGGGTCATCGCTGTTCATGTACCAGAACATCTCCCTCACACCATAGCCACGATGCCCGCCAACAGCCGGCCCCACTGACGGCGGCCGCGACGAGCCGCTCGCCCCGCCCTGGATGCTCCAGGTGTCCAAAGGCGGCAGACGAGACGACGACCCGGGCTGTGGGTTGAAGAGCTCCACATAGGAGTTCTTCCGCGACGGTGCGGCCGTGTGTGCCGTCGACACGGCCACACTGACGCTCTTGTTCTTGTGATGACCATGGCCGGTGCTGCTGGGCACCGGCACGCCCTCGTGAAAGCTCATCGACCCCTTTCTGTCGCGCGGAGTGATGCGCCCCCCCAGAAAGCCGCCTCGACCAGAGGAGACCGCGCTGTCTGTGGTGGTGTTGCTGGTGGTCTGGTGGACGCGGTTGTTGGATGGTGTGGGGGGCAGGGGCGGGTGGAATCGACGGAGCGACGAGAAGATGGCGTGAGAGATAGAGGGGGACTCCTTGCTGTCCTTGTTAGCGCTGCTGCCACCACGGTCCCTCCCCCTGTGGGCGCCTGGCTCCTTCTCGTCGCTCATCTCCTTGGGCGTGGTGGCCGACGACGGGACGGACGAGGGAATGCGCGCAGACAGGAAAGGGCTTACTGGTGCAGACGAGGGCGACTCCCCCGGTGTGGGTGGCTGAAGGGTCGGGGCGGGAGGGGGTGGTGCAGCCGACGTGCTGGCACCGGGCGCAAAGTTGGATGCGGAGAGGGAAGGCGCGAACGGCCTCTTGTGGAAGTGCAGCTGCGACGGGTGTGGCTGCTGCATCAGCCGGGACAAGTCGGTCCACTGCTGGGTCGTCAGGGATGAAGCCGAGTGGGGCACCGAGTCGTCGCGTGTTGACGCGCCCCCACCCTTCCTCTCCCCCTCGCCACCACCCTGCCTCCCACCACTCATGCCGCCATTGTGCCCGTACATCTCTCTGTGGCCCTCGGCCGACTGCCCTTTGCCACTCCACAGCAGGTCAAGACCCCCCGCGCCGCCATGCTGGTGTGACGACGTCCGCGAGCGCATGATCTGCAGGGCCGAGTCGTCCCGCCACAGCAGCCGGTTGTTGCTGTCGCTTCCGGCGCCTGCTGCATCGTTCATCTCGAAGGCAGGAAGGTTGGAGAGGGAGTTGACGTCCGCCCACCGCATCAAGCCCGTGGCCGCGCTGTGCGATACGGTCTTGCGTGGCTCCCTGCTGCTGTCGACGCCACGCACGCTGAGAGGCCCTGCCGCCGAGTCCTCCAGCCGCATCTTGGCCCAGGGGGTGCTCCAGGTGCCGCCGTTCATGTCGCTGGTGTTGATGGGCGGCACCTTATTGCGATTGAACCCCGGCAGTGTGAGCCTCCTGCCTCCAGTGCTGCGAGACGACCACGCCATGGGGAGTACTCCGGGTGTGGCTGAGCCGGCGGAGGCTTGTTGCGTGACGCCAGGTGGGCCGGTCCTGAACTTGTGGTGGCGGCCGCCTTTGGATGTGGCGGATGAGTACCCACTGGCCGGCCCGCGATCCCTGTCTGTCCTTGGGGCGGGAATGAACTGCTGGTGGTGGTACCGCTGCAGCAGGTAGGAGAGGTAGTCCATGACGTCCTGCTCCTCATCCTGACCACCACCCTCCTGGTCGGTCTCCAGCTCAGTGTCGGTGTCGTCCGTGTAGTCGCCGTCGATCGACGACCGCTGCAGCGGGCTCTCCGTCTGCCCGGGGCCACCACGGGGCAGACTCGCGATAGATGAGGGGGTCGACGAGCGGTTGAGCCCGCTCTCGCGTCGTCGGGTGATGGGGCGGGTGCGCCTGACCTTGAGGTGGGGTGGGACGGGGAAGGGCAGCCGAGGGGGGGCGTGCTGTGGCTCCTTCCTGTAGGTGTAGTAGATAAGCTTGAAGTGGCTCTCGCCACGACGCAGGAAGTCGCTGATCTGCCGACGACGGACGTCAGTCAGCGCACCAGTGGAGTCGCCACGGCGGAAGAGGGCCTCCCCGTCCACATACTGCCGATACCTTAGATGAGGAAACAGACACACACGGGGGATTCTTCTCATTTCCTGGCGTGTGTGCGCGTGTGTGTTGTCCCTTTTACTTGTGCAGGTCTTCCGTGGCGACTTGTGGCGGCACCGGCAGCCTGATGCTGCTGTCCGGCGCCGCAATGAGTGCCGTTCCCGTCGGCAGCAGCTTCCCCGCCCTGTCCACGTAGCACGTCTCCTCGCCCTTGCCGATCTTCTCCTTCCACACGAGGGCCGCGCACAGCTGGGCGGCCGTGGGGCAGTCCTTGGAGGGCGGGGTGCAGTTGAGGAGTGCGCGTGAGGCGGTGAGCTTGACGCGTCGGATTGACGAGTTGATGTGGACGTGGATGCACACAGAGGAGCCGAGATTCGCCTTTTTGTCGAAGGACGTCAGCTTGTGCGGCTTGTAGTAGGAGTCGAAGAGAGAGCAGGGGGGCTCCTGGGGCTCCTGGGGAGGAGGGGAGCCCTCTGCCGCCCCCTCTCCCTCTCCCTCTTTGCTCTCAGCCACGGGCGCATCCTCCCCCTCTCCCTCCTGAGACCGTTGCTCCTCCTCTCCCTCACTCTCTGCGTCTTCTCCCTCACTCTCGTCGTCTCCCTGGTCGCTCTCGTCGTTCCAGACCACGTCGGCAATCTCGGGTCTGACGAGCTTGACGACGGGGGGGTTGTCAGCCGGGATGGAGGATGTGAGCTGGTAGACGACCTTGCGTGGTGGGTCGAGGAGCTTGAGGATGAGCAGCTGGTCGACGTAGAAGGCCAGGGGGCCCATCCACCAGTAGCCGGGGCTGTACTCGTCGTCGAGGGAGTCATGGTGCAGCCACGCGTCCGTGTCGACCATCCATGGCCGGGGGTCCCTCTGGAAAGACAGACAGACAGACAGGCAGCGTGCAGCCACAAGGCGGATGGGATGGGTCGGAGTGCGTGTCACGTTGGGTGTGTGCGTCCCTTCCTCCCTCCCTCCCTCCCTCCCTAGCTCACCCTAGGATCGAGCACGCCCAGGAAGACATTCATGGCCTGCTGCTTCTCGCTGTCGGCAAACGAGTTCGTGTAGTGCCTGCACACAGCAATCACCCAAACAACGCCCAGCCATATAGGTGAGGTCACTTGTCTGCCTGCGTGCCCCTCCTGTCTGTTTGTGAAGGGACAGCTTACCGTTTGAGCGAGGTGAGCAGCTCCTTGCTCTGCTTCATCATCCGCGGCCTTTCCCTTGTGTACTTTTTGTGGGCTATCGACCCGCCATATTGCAGCGACAGATGGTCCCCCATGAGGTCATACAGCTCCGACAGGACGCTGACCACCTGGGAGTCGAAGTCGAGCTTGGGCTCGGGCAGGAAGGCCAGGGCCGCCAGCTGGTGGGCCAGCACACAGCGGCCGACGAAGAACTGCGCCACGTTGGTGCGATCGAGGCAGTCGACGCAGTTGGTCCGCATCACGCCGGTCTGGACTCTCAGGGGGCGGGTGTTGGGCCTGAGTGGGGGTGGGAAGTGGGGGCGACACACGGAGGGAGGGACGCATGTGTGTGCGTGCGTGCGTGTGTGTGTGTGTGTGAGGGGCGGTTACTTGGTGACATAGAAGAAGCCCACTCGCGTGACGATGGACTCGGCCAGCCACGACAGAGCCTGGTACACTGAGTCAGACTTGCTGCACACATCACATCACATCACATCACACACATTCCCTCCCACACGTGCCACTCACTGTCCGCCCATCTGTCTGTCTGTCTGTCTGTCCGTCCGTCCGTCCGTCTGTGTGAATGTGGTGTAGCCCTCACCTCCGATGTGCGTTTTTGAGGTCGTAGGCCTTGTAGAGTATCCTGGCGTCGAGGGGCAGCTCCTGGTTGAGAACGTTGACGGCGGCCTCGAACTTCTTGCCCAGCTCGGTCTCGTCGTTGAGGTTTCTGCCGTGCTTCATCAGATTCACAACCAGGATGGGCGCCCCGTAACGGGCAAACAAATCCTAAACACACACACACACACACACATAGATGGATGGATGGCACAGACAGAGAGGGGGAGAGAAAGGGGCTTAAGACTAACCGAGAAGTGGTTCCGCGTTGCCGTGAAGTTGGGGTCCACTTTGTGGTCTGAATGAACGCAAGGATAGGCATATGCCATCCATCCATCCATCCATCCATCGCACCCAGCTGATGCGTGCGTGCAAGGCATGGTCTTTTCAGTCTGCAGACTTACATAGTATGGGCGGCTTTGGGACCATTGCGCTGGCCTCCTGTGTCCAAAACACCGGCACCGACGACCGGTTCTGCACGAACGCCATGGCCGCCTGAGACGTGCAGCTGCACGCACACACACACACACACACACAAACAAGGCTCAGGTCAAGACCGTGTGTTGTGTGTGTGTGATTATGTGTACCTGTCGAAGAGGATCTGTTCGGTCTCCACGTCGTTGGCCACGTTGCCCTCGGCGTTGACGCCCCTCTTTCTGTACCTCGTGCCGGCAAACAGCCGAGACCGCCGGGCGATCAGCACTATCTCGAAGGCACGACCGAAACACGAACACCCTGTTGGTGTGACGAGGGAGAAACGACGTCTGGAGTGTTTGGCGCGTAGGAGGATGTCCGTCTGTCTGTCTGTCTGTCTGTGTGGCGTACGGGCATGAGCAAAGAATCCGTGGACGATGGGCAGGCACCAGTGCGCCCAGGCCGGCGCCTCGAGGAAGCGCGCCATGAGGTGGTAGTTCCAGACGTAGCGGAACTCCTGCGCCGCCCCCCACTCGCCCATGTACTCCTTGGGGTCGGGCACGGGGATGCCCTGCGCCCTGCATGAGGCGGCCATGTAGTTGTATTGGAGGCACTTGGAGAGGTCATACGAGTGGCTGAAGTAGAAGTCCTTGGTAAGATTCAACACATTCAGCAGCTCGCGGAACCTGCAAACACACGGATTGACCGCCCCCCTCGTGTGTGCGTGGAGTGGCGTGGGTCACCTGATTTCCTCTTTGCGAGTGTCCTGAAGAGCGCTGTCGCCCGAGTCGTAGAGGGCGACGAGTGCGGTCTTCTCTATGGAGTAGACGGGGTGGTGTTCGAGCACCCGGCCGACCTTCTTGTGCTTGGTGATGATGAAAATGTAATAGCCTTGGAGGAACCGGGGGAAACCTGCACACACACACACACACACACACGCAGAGAGAGAGAGAGAGAGGGAGAGAGCAGAGAGAGAGATGCACACGGATGTCTGTGTTGTGCTGTGTGTCGTTGTGTGCTGCTCATCATGTCATCGGTCTCACTCACCGATGATGCCGGAGCCCTCCACCACCTTCTGGAAGCCCTCGGACTCTGAACACACCACACCCAACGCGCGCATCACGTCCACGTCACGCCATGACACTGACTCTGTCTGTATAGGCCCACTGACTTTGTATGACGGCGAACCGTTCTGCGAACTCCTTCTCTGAGTAGCGGGTCTCCCCCTCCCGCATGACCAGCGTGTCCACCGCATCGGCTGACGCACCCACACATAACATATATCACGACAAGACACTCGTGTGTGTCTGTCATGATGATGTTGTCGTGTATCGTGGTTGGTGTGTGTGTGTGTGTGTACAGTACCTACCTCTGCTGATTTTGAGGATGCTGTAGTCGTTCCTGATCTTGTCATGGCCCACCAGAAATACATGCTGCTCACAGAAACCACACACACACACACACACTGACTTCCCGTTCGTTCATCTGTTGGCTGGCTGCGTGTGTGTCACCCACCATGCGATTTTGGTAGACCGTGTAGCGATGGAAAGGGCACGGGTAGTCCTGACGCCCGAGCATCTCCTCCACTCATCTAACGGAGATCTGATGTCGATTTATTCTCGTCTTGTCGTTGCGCTCATCGTCAGACATGGCACGTGGCGCAGTGTCTTAAGAAAACGAAATCGCTCTCATATGCGAGCTGAAGAACTTTCTGCGAGCTGGGAAAGCTGAGGCGCTTCTTCACTGCTTCCGCAGAACCTGTCACTGTTGAGCCGTGAAATCGAAGCGAAAGCTGACGTCATCGTTAGCCAGGGATCGTTAGTAGGGCACGGCAGAACGGTCCGGGGAGATTCGTGCCGTCTGACCCCTGTTGTCGCAGACACACACACGCACAGCGCTCTCGCCTCCCTTGGTAAGACGAATCAGCTGGCATGAATGCATTCACTTGTAAGTTCTCTGGCTCTCGTCGTCTGCAGGTGTTCTAGTCAGCACAGATGAGCAGTCATCGCGGCCCTCCCCGGCCACAGAACCGCCCTCCCGCGTCACAGTCCTTCCAGCACCTCTACCAGCATGCCCGCCCCGGCAGAGCTCGACCGCCGGCTTTAATCCCACGCACGTCCCAGCAACGTGCAGGAGCCATGATATCGGCCAACGTCAAGAGCGAGCCCACAGACAACCACATGCCCCCTGCCCCGCCGCCCAGGCCGACGCAGCCCGCACCGAAGGCGCCATACCGTCACCCCAGCGGCACACAGCCGGGTGGAGCTGGTGTTGGTGGGCAGAATCAGCCCTCCCAACAGCAGCACCGCCACAACCAGCAGCAGCAGCAGCAACAGACGGCTGCAAGCCAGGGGTATGCGCCGCCGCCCAGACAGCCCAATAACAGTGCTGCCGGCCGGCCCCCTGCTCCTCCCTCTGGGACCTTTGTTGGCACCCAGCAGCAGCAGCAGCAGCGAGGCGCCAGCCTCACGGCAAAGCTTCCCATGCAGAATGGCACAGAGGCCGTCGATGGCAAGCCGGAGGTCAAGACCACCACAGCAGTGGTGCAGCGTGACGACAAGAAGGGCAGTGGAGTGGGGGTGGGTACCGGTCTCACAGCCCCATTCATGGCCCGTAGTGGCGAGCAAGAGATCACCTTCAGTGAGCTAGAGGCGGCGTTCCGCCCTTTGGTGTGGCCGCCCGACCCCATCGTGGCCAACAACATCCGGCTGGTGCTGCGGCAGCTGGTCGACGCTTCCCACAACCGGCGCAAGATGAATAGTGAGGACCAGAAGGCCAAGGCCGCCCCCCACCACCCCCACCCCCACCCACACATGGACAGAGAAGACAAGAAACGGGAGCACCAGAACCTCACCCACTTGCGCAGCTTCCTCTCCGAGCGGCTGATGGTGGCCGACCTGGCGGGCATCGCGGCCATCACCCGCGCCCTGGCGTCGTTCCGCCACCTGGGGGGACGGCTGACGGCCCTGCTGCTCATCAGCAAGGCGCCAGTGGCCCGGGGGGGCGCCTTCATCGACTTCACATCGACCATCAGCTCGCAGATGTCGGCCGCCAGCGGCGTGTCCATGGCAAGCCAGGCCAGCGGCGGCAGCATAGGCGGCGGTAGCGGGGGTATGGGGCCAGTTATGGTCACGGGTCTGCTGCGGCAGCTGATCGAGGCCGTCGGCAGCCACCACGACCTCTCAGAGCTCCAGACGCCCTCGCCGAGGCCGACGGGGGCGCCGCAGAACAACACCCGTGACGTCGAGCTCATGCCGCCCCCACCCATCCCTCTGCAATTCCTCAAACGACCAGCAGCACCAGCGGCAGCAGCACCAGCGGCAGCAGCGGCAGCCACCACCACCACCACCACGGCAGACACAGGCATGTCGCTGGTGCCGTACAGTGAGATGATGGGAGGGGGAGGGGGGCAGCGGGCCAGCGGCAGCACCACCCGTGGCAGCTCTCCCGTCATGACTGTGACCAACGACCTGGCGTCACTCGAGGCCATCTTCGCCGACCTGGCCCTGCTGTGCGGCGACCTTGCGCGTGCTGGCCACGAGCCGAGTGTGGTGGCCCTGCTCGACGCGCCATTCATCGCCAAGTGGCTCTCCCCGGCCACCAAGATGGCCGTCCGCGGTCCCGCCCCCCGCCCCGCCATGACCGCCACACACAAGGGCTACCCCGGCACCAGCTACTGGCATGTGCGTGTGCAGCTGATGAAGCTCTTCAACCACGTGTGGGGCCACTGCAAGAAGCAGACCGACAAGGTGGAGGCGCCCGAGCCGGCCATTGTGCTGACGGCCATGGCGCAGTGGATGTCGCCGTCATTTGCAGAGTGGGCCGAGGGCAACCCGCAGTGGGCAGTGGGACCGACGCCGGCAAATAGCCGAAACCACCGGGAGGGTGTGGAAGGGGCGGCAGTGGCCAAGGCGATCGACGCCATGCGGGAGGCCGCCTTGGCGGCCTGTCTGCGAGCCATCCGGCTCACCAACGTCCCCTCTGCCATCCTCAAGCGGACCCCCCCGCCGATTCACAACGGAGAGCGCCCCCCCACCATCCTGCAGACACTCGTGGGCACGCTGAGAGACGAGCTGGAGCGACTCGAGGACGCGTGTGGCGGCGGGGAGCCCATGAGCGACATGGACGACACCGCCACCCACTCGGAGTCCATGGTCCGGCACTGCCTGGAGGGTCTCGGCCTATGGGCGTCGGACATCCTCGAGCCGCAGTTCCGCCAGGACAGCACCGAGGGCAGCAGGAGGAGGGCGGGGGCCGGCAGCGAGAAGGACAAGTGTCGGCTGGAGGACCTGGGCGAGATGGTGGTCGACCTGGACCGCATTGTGGGGCTGGCCACGGACCACTTGGGCGAGGAACGGCTCCTGGCTGAGATGCGCTCCCATGTGCTGCTGCTGGTGAGGGTGCTGGAGCAAGACGCTACAACGGGCGATGGAGGCGATGACATGGACACATCTTAGTTAGTGGGGGTCAAGAGGCAGCGAGCGGTGCCATTGATACAATGAGGTGCGTGCGCAGGGTGGGAGGAGAGAGGGGGACGCGACGCGCACCTTACAATTACTGACGTGTGTGTGTGTGTGTGTGTGTTTGTGCAGGTAGAACGGTGATGTTGAGGTGTGTAGCTATACTACACATAGCTTGTGCAGATCGATGCAGACGGCATTCCTGTTGGTTGCCCCGTCCGTTGTGTGTGATTTGGTGGTGTGTGCTGTGTGAGCCGGCCTCAATGCAGCGTGTGCACTGCCATGTCCGACGGATCGGGTACACACACCGGATTGCTTGCTGCAATGGGTGGACAGGCCTGACCATCAATTGTCTTCTCTCATTGCATGGCGTGAATGAATGCACACACCGCCGACCATTCTCGTCCCAAACGCATCTCCATTCATGGAATCCAATCCTCGCAGCTCCAAAAGCTCGCGGGACCCTTCTCAAGTTTTTTCTGACAGTTCCATTCCAGTGTTTTCTTTCCCCCGCCATGGGTGATTTTATGGTGATATGCGATGGCATCCAGTCCCCCCTCCTCGCAGATCAGCACCCCCGCCCGAAGCTGCGCAGCCGCATGCGACGCATCACAATGGCGGTTGCCGTGACGACGGTCCTGGTGGTGGTCGTGATGCAGACCAGCAGCAGCAGCATTATGGGAGGACGGCCGTCACAGCCACACTCAGATGGTGAGGGATCTCGCTGTGTTGACGGTGGGAGAGGTGTTTGTTCACTGTCTGTGCTGTGCATGTCCGCAGCGGCTGAGGGAGGTGTGTCGTCGTCCATTGCAGCCACAGCGGACATCGACTTGTCGGCGGCGAATGAGAGCGATGCAGGTAGCAAGAGCATGATGCAGTTTGCAAGTACGTCCAGCCAGACCCTTTCCCCGTCTGTCTGTCTGTTTGTCTGTCTGTCTGAAACATGCGCTTCTTCAGGCAAGAGCTGGATTGCCGCCCTTGTCGACTTCTGCATCGACCAGCTCTCGCGCGTCCTCTCGCGCCCCGTCGTCCTCTACCCACTCATAGCACTCATCGCCCTCCCCTTGATCGCCCTCACTATCGCATACACCTCCTCCCTCTGCCGTCGACGACGCGCCTCACGCGCACCACCCACCCCAGAAGACGACAAAGCAGAAGGAGACGACGGCGAGGGAGAGGAGGCCAAAGGCTGTGGTGGTGGTCCACGAATGGTGGCCTTCAGTGACCGCACCACCTGCCACAGCGGCAGCTATGACGCATCGTCGATCGGGTCGGTGGAGGGAGAGGGCGGCGGGGGCGGGCTGAGGGTGAGTGCGCCGACGCGGCAGCTGCTGAGCGCACCGAACGGGTCGCCTGCCCTGTCCCAGACCTCACAGGTGTCCAAGAAATCACGACGGTGAGCGAGACGGGCAGGGGTGAGCGAGATGGGCCGGAGATACCAGTGTTTCCCCCTCTCTCTCTGGTGGTGTAAGGTCGTGGGTGCATGTGGAGTCTGACGCCGGTGAGGCTTTGACGCCCCCGGCCTCCCCGCCCCGCCCCATGGGCGGCGTGTTCAAGACCATCGGCCGCATGCTCAGCTTCGGCCGACTGCAGACGACCGGCCAGCAGGACACCGACGTGGCCAACACTGACGACCTGAACGCGTGGGACGAGCTGTGAGCCGATCATGCTGATGCCGTTGAGTGTCGTGTGGTGTGGAGGGAGAGAGGCGATGAGCGGTGTTTTTGGATTCCATGCATCCACCTGTGTATGTGATCTGAGGGGTGGTGGAAGCTTTTCTTGGTTCATGTGCCTCTGGATGTTCGTGTGGCTGTTCGTGTGTGTGTGTGTGTGTGTGTGTGGTGGGGGGCGGGGCGGGGCGGGGCGAGGCGGGGGAAAGGAGAGAGTTGATTTAGCAGAGAGTTTTATTTGGACGAGGGCGGGCCGGGCGGTTCTTTTTTGGCATCCATCCATCCATCGGTGTGTTGGCATCTTGTCAATCGCTTCAGGCGAGCCTAACCTGGAATTTTTTCCCGTTCCCTGCCTGCCTGCCTGACTTTTCTTCTTTGAGTGTGTGTATTTTTGTGGGACGACTCGTCCCTGCATGCCATGCTGTTGGGTGTGTGTTTGGGGGGTGAAGGGGTGGTGAGTGCAGCGGTCTTTCTGACCTTTTGTACTACAAACCCGATTGATTGATGTGCGATAGAGTGAGTGGTGTGCCTCTCTCCATTGCTATGCTGTGATGGATGCTGTTTTTGTCGACTCTGTAGACGAGTGTGTGTGCCATCCCTCCCTCCCCAGCTGCCGTCTTTCCCTGTGTCTCTCACTCACTCTAGTGTGCATATATGTCTTCGGCTGTCCGTCCATCTGGCGATCTTGACGACGCCTGCTTCTGCTTTGCTGCTCTGTGTCTCTCTCGTCGTCTCTTGATACATCCTCTGACATGCTGCTGTCAGTGTGCGCCCTCTGCGCACTGATCTGGTGGCAGTGTGAGTCCTGCAGCAGACAACACCACTGTCTGCCGCAGTGCTACACTCCCCATCTGAACAGTGCGCAGAGGGCGCGCGCACACACTACACACCACACGATGTGGTGCCTGTGGGGAGACGGATGATGCTGAACTGACCGAGTGACTGGTCGCGGCGGATTGACCTGTTGTGTACTTGACAGACCATTGACTGAGAGAGGGAGGGAGGGAGGGAGGGAGCGATGCATTCCACACGCACCGGGTCGTTTGTTGGTGCACGCGTTTCCTTCCACTGCCGCCAGACGGCTCTGCGCGAGAGCTCTTGTGCTGAAGCTGCCTGTCGTAGTGCATGGTAACGTCTTCACCACCGGCACCCGACCGACGCAGCGCTTGAGAGAGAGAGAGAGAGAGAGAAGGGGCAAGTGCTGATGGATGGGCGGCCGCGTCTTTCGACTGCGTACCTTCCTGCCTGTCTGCCGCTCACCATTCGTACGGCATGATGTGACGTCGCCACATGCCCTGGTGTTGCAGCAACGTGTGGCTTCGTGACATGGCGCCGTGTGTGGATGGTGAGCAGCGACGCCTGCAGGAACACACACGTGTGATGTGGCCAAGCCGGTCGATGTGTCACATGTGTTGTATGGTATTGCTGTATTGCTCAAATGAGGTTCTGAGCAAGTCATGAGGGGTGGGTGGTCGTCTGTTGGTGCGCTCCTTGACAACCGCTGCCGGCAGACGGCTCAGCGCGGGAACTCTTGTGTTGAAGCTGCCTGTAGTAGTGGTAGTCATCGAACGAACCAACAGCAGCCGACAGACACAGCACTTGGGAGGGAGAGAGAAGGGGAAAGTGGTCATTGAATGGTGGATTGGATGCACTCTATGGCCCCGAACGACTGACTCTCCATTCATCCATTCATCCATCCATCCATCTGTCCGATAAAATGATCAAGGCGCACTGACGTCCGCCTTCCTCGGCCTCACTGTGGCGTCGCGCACACAGACACCAACACCGACACACAGGCAGGTACACAGAAAGACCACACACAAACACACAAACACGACACACGACACAGCACACAAGCACACACAAGGCGACAGACACCATCATCAAGGGCCTACCGGCCGCCGGGGGCTTTGCTTGTTCCATCCGACCTACCTGCATAGCTACCTACCATGGTCACCTCTCTACCGTGCTGGCATACCAGCCAAGCCGAAGTCATCGAAAAATGGTCTTCTCTCTGGTGCTGGCTGCCGGTGTGCTGTGGCCTGGCCCCCTCACTCACACACACAAATAAATGGGCGGGGCGGCCCCCCACCCACAAAAAAGACACACACGACAGACAACACATGGATGGCATCCCTCTCTCTCCTCTGCCCTTCTCTCTGTGCGCGGCGGTCGATATGCTTATGGCTTATTTGAGCCTGAGCAGCAGATCACCGGCCTCGATCTTGTCGCCGTCCCTCAGGGGAATCGACGCTACCTCACCGGCACACGGGGCCACCTAACCCCCCCCCCCCCC